AAAAACGGTGAAAGCTAACGTACGAAACCAGAGGACAGCACAGGATGCGATCGCACGGCCGTGCCCGTGAGCAATCTCCCAACTCATCTCTGCTATCACGCGCTATCGCGATGCAAGATACAGGGTTTGAAGCTTTTGAGGTCCATGATTTTTTCAGCAGGTTTTCGGGCTGCCCAGCCTCCGGTGAATTTTTTTTCGCATCTGTGACCACGGGAGCCTGACGGGGAAGGTTGTTCTCTTTAAATTGATCTCTCGAGCGAGTAGCTACGAAGTTTTTCAGAGGCAATACGCGTTTTTAGGCGTTTTTAGGCGTCTTCGGGCGACTTTAGACGGCTTTAGTTTTTGTCGGTTTTAGTCGATTTTAAACAATTTTGAACAGTTTTAGATGTCTGTTTGTCGGCGTCAGAACGTAGTAGCTACGTATATATACTACACACCGTCAAAGTTTCGTAAAATAAATTTATATTAGAGTACGATACAGCAATAATGTACAATCGTTAACGGAAGAAATTGTATAGAAGTAATCGTCATAATTCGTTTACGCATAATATTTAAACACAGCGAAACGAAGTTTTTTTACATGGTGATAATTCCAGCCAATGTTCTCAAGAATTAATAGTACAGTGTCATCATTTCCGGCGATTTCTTACTCCAATCGACCAGCTCTAAGTGTATGTACAATAATTACATCCTCCTTTTCGTTGTAATTGGCTAAAAATCGGTGAAAAAATAACGCTTTGGCTGCTTTCGATGAAACGACTATCTGAAAAAGTACATTAAGATCATTCTTACAATGAAGCGGGCATCGAAACACCACCTCGAGGATATTTCGAAGTCTAAAATCATTCCGCTGTTGTTTAACACTCGTAAGAAAATGCTTTCGTGTATATTCAGAAGAGCGTACCTTATTTCATTAGTACTTCAAGGTACCCGGTGGAATCTCCTGTAATCTGTAAATTTGAAAACGTGCCAACGTTCAAACGATCCTACTCTCGTCCGAGGATGCTCGTCGCGGCATTATTCAAATAAGACTCAGTTACGGTCGAACTTCTTCGGACTCCGGATCGCGAACAACGCTTCAAGGACAACGCAAAGTCCTCTCGAAATATCAAAAGAAATTACGAACAGGTTCCACGTATGAATATATCGTATCTGATATGGATAACGGCCCGATAACGTAAGGCGCCGATCGGGTCTTCGATTGGTAGCAGCACCTACGATAGATACAAAATTCCACCTGTGCAACGATCACTCGAATTCATTGTTTCCACGACGCGGGGTTTTCTTAAGGGAATTCTAACGTATCTGTACGTAGTACATACATCGACCTGCGTGCATAGATGCAAACGTAAAAAATAACCATTGTTGAAGACCTACGCATTCTCCGTATCTATACCAAGCATTGCACGCTACGCCTTTTAAAAAAACAAGTTGCGCGAACACATCCATCGATCGACGCCCACACGGGAGAGAAAACATGGAATGCCTCGAGTTTGAATGACGTGAAATCATTAATAAAATGCTCTTGAAAAGGGTTCTTTTTTTTTTTTTAACGAAAGGCTTATGGAATGCAGGCGTTAACTGAAATAAGTTTAAACCCACGAAACTCATGCGAGCAGAGCACGAAAAAGGTTGTCGAACTTCGGTAAACGACATCGATGCTACATTTCGAGACCCGTTAGTGCGTCTAGAGAGAAATAAAAGCGACGATACGACCTAACGTTAATTCGTGAAAACTAAGGGCGTTTAGATTGCGAGACGAATTCGGACTTGCACTCTGCAATGAGAGTAGATTCTTGTCCACGCGACCGGCAATCCGTGTTATTCGTAACAGTCGGTCAAGCCCAACCAATAAATTAGCTTGCGTGCTGCCACGAGCACGTAACGTTACATATGTATATCTATATACACGCAATAATAGGAAATTAAGCCTAAGGACGGAAAAGAAAAGACGCTAACTCGACCGTTCGCCTCTCGATGCGAACGCCGCATCCGTCCGATCTCCCCGTCGGAGTGACCGTTTAAAATCGACCACGATCGACCATTCTCGGACAATCTAATCGACGAAACGAATCAACGGTTTAGCGTTTGGGTTTAAAACTACAAGAGCGGCTCTCAACGCGCGGGCGATTCGGGATTACTTCCTAAGAGGAATCTTCGCTCCTACCCTCGACTGGCGAGATATTGGAATGTGTCGCGAGTCTGAGACTACTTGTATCTAGGACTATCCGGCGGCGTGGACTGTGCGCTTCCCTTGTATTTCGGTCCAGTCTTGAATGACATCTTTTTCACGGGCCTCGGTGAAATCCCGTGGAAGGTCGCACTGTCCTGCGTATCGCCACTAAACCACACTCTACTGCCATCGGAAACTAAAAAGAAAGAACGAAGCATCACATCGTACTATGCATCATCGCATCGGTACTTTTGGTTCGATAGGTAGACGCGGAGCGCTACGACATCGCGAACCGTCAGGCAAGATCTAAGATTTCTAGGAAACGAGGGCAGAAGGTCATTCCCAAAGTTCATGCTCTTAATGTTCGCGGGTCAATTGCGTTCTACTCCGGGAGATAATCTAAGAAGTAAAAGCGTCGAGTCGCGCCCGTTGTTAGAGCAAACGAAAGGAGTAACCGACCGGTGCGGCCTTACGGATCAGCGAGTCAGCCATTGACGGGACGTCGCAGAAACAATAAGTAACTAGTGGTACTAACTTGGGGTGGTTGGGTGGTGTTACAAAGTGGATGGGGGTTAGTGGAGTGAGCTAGTCACCTCTGTTCGCGCGGTTTTCACTGCTCGCCGTGGAATTACTACGGAGACCAGGCCTGCCCTGATGCGAGTCTATGAGCGCCGCTGCCAGATTCGTCGATGTCGTCGACTGCACGCTGGTCGTCGAACCTGTTGGCAAACCGAGGTGATACAATATCTCCTGACCCCGCCGGCTGATCGAGTACGATGTCTCTCGGGTTCACACCGGGCCAATTACACCGACGAACGAAGGAAACTGTTACGACTAACCGGATACGGAGGACGCTCCGCTGAAGGGACTCGGTGGCTGCACCGGACAGTAGACATTAGCGGCGAACTCTTCGAATGTCGTCGACTCCTTGTGGTTCTTCATAACGGTGTCGATGGACCTCGCCCTCTCTTCGTAACTACAATGACAAAGTCAACGGGTAGTTTGGACTGTGGAAAAGTCGGCTCCTCGCGAAGCATCGTGGCTGGAAATATACGTACTAGTGCTGGTACAAAGTCAGGGTCGACCTCTTGGCTCTACTAGCCGCCAGAGCGGTTCCCCTGACCAATCCGGGCAAGACGGCGTCTTCGACGATGCACTCGTTGAACAGCGGCCCGAAGAAGGGAATCTCCGCTTTCCTCGATATCTGGACCCTAAACAGTTTCTTCGGTAGTGGGTATATTACTATCAAAACGTCGCAAAATTCCGTCGGTATGATGTCTCTGCGGTAATCCCGCCAGTGCTCGGACCATACAATGTGGATTTCATCGTTCCCTAGGTGTCTAGTCTGGAAAAGTCGTCAGTAAGTTAAAATACTTACGCCTACCTAAACGTCGGAAAGTCGCTACTCACTTTTTGCAGCAGGCTTTCGGGACTATCGGACGGCATTCTCGTGGCAACGTGGAAAAGAATTTCGGTGAAGGATGTCGCGTAGTACGGCGCTGTGGCGCCAGAAGCTTTGCCGGGAATCAATCCTCCCATGAAGCCAGTATGCGATTCAAGCTCGACCTCCCACGCCAGTCTAGCGACGAAACTTTCATACTCTTTGCTAGCCGCGACGTTGTTTAATATCGAATTCTTGTCCTCTTGGCCTTGACTAACGTATATGACAGCCATCTTGTGAGTTTCTCGAGACCGCTGTCCGTCTAAGTTACGCAATTCCCGCAGGAGTTTCTCGTTTTTCGAGAGTAGATGCAGCTTTCTTCGTTGCTCCCATCCGGACAGGCCGAGATGCGAAAATAGAAGTCGGCAGTGGTGAAAAGGCGCAGGCGGAATACGAGATATCGGCGGATTCGCCGCGGGAACCCATGTACTGAAGAAAAAAAAAAAAAAAAAGGAGTAGATAATCATTCTTAACCATTTGAGGGCCAAGGACCGCGCGAACGTTCCTTGACCCTCGAAAAATCAACTTCGCAAACGTTAAACGCATCGCATTATACGATTTCGTATGACCACTGCAAATCAACGTATATTTTGCGTAAAACGAATGGAAGTTATCGGATGAAGGAAATGTAAAACCTGACATGCTGGCTACAACTATCGATATGATCCCGTTCTATGTTTCTCTGGTTCAGTATGGTGGCGATGACTTCGCCTTCGAAGTAATGTCCCTGAGGTGGGCTGGCTGGGGCATTGAGCGATAATTCTGGATTTGTCAAGACTTCCGGACTCGTGTGACCTATATACTGCAGAAGCTGAGAGCAAACGATCGTCGACTGTTACTTTTACCGCCAGAAACGTACCACGGATCAATAATCATTCCAAGAGGAAGTCACGGTAACTCACATCGTCTAAATTATCCATGTCACTTGCAGCGTTTTCGTATGTAGGAAGAACGTTGGGGTCGCGGTGTCTCAGAGTGTGGCGAGGTAGGCAGCTTTGCAACGACGAAACATTGGACGGATTTTTTCTATGGAAGTCGCCACTCCATTCGACTACTGGCAAATTTGTCCGTCAGCCTTAACGTAGAGAGCAGGAAAGAGAGAATTGGCTTGGAAGCGTTTAACTGCTACATACCGGATGGGGGATATGGCGTCGTTGAATCATCCTCGGTAAATGGTTGACTGTACAAGATCGAACTGTCCCAGGAAGCTTTACCAGCTAAATCTCTCAATAAGACTCTGACCGTAGACGGAGCAGTCGTCAACCCGGCGGTAACACCTCCACCGCCAGGAGCGTCTAAAGCGGCCAATTCGATTAACGACATTATAATGGAATTAGAGAGCATCAAGAGCTGCACATTCGGCGCTTGGAAAACCGCCGAAGAGAGCTCGTCGCTGTCTATGCCGGGCACGTCGTCCAGCTCCACGACCATGGATGACAACCGTGCCGCACCGATGCCCATCGGGAAGTGGCCCAAGTGGTTCACCAAATGCATTAAGACCTTGAGACAAGTAGATATAAAATCGTTAATTTTACTTTCTCCTAGCCTTCGGAAATACGAGGATGTTGTACCATTTTAGCTGCCAATCGAACTGATCGAACGTTTCCGCGTCGAGGGGACTTTCCGTGCGTTTCGTCGAGTAAATTGTCAAGACTGATGTCCGGGTCGAAGTCGCCATCGTGCTGATGATTCCTCTCCGTATCCCAAAAATCAGTGTCGACTTTGCGTTGTACCAAGTTGTCCAATACCTGTTAAACGACATATGGGATTGAATAAACCAGTCATGCGGATGTTGCTTTATAAAATGCAACAACGTTGATCACCGGTTATGCCACTCACTGTAAACAAGGTCAATAACAAGGATGTTCCTTGGAATTCACGCAACAGCACGCCAGGTCCCAGATGCATCGCCCACTCTCCCAAACAAAATAACATGGATATATTTAGAGGTGCGCGTTCCTCGCGTCCGGCTCTACGGCCAAGTGTCTCCGATAATACCTAATGTTGAAACATTTCAGTTGATCGATCGTTAAACTTCAATTGTTGGTTGCTAAAATGCGTATCACTGTACACACATTACCTGAATAATTTTAGCAGGAATGTTGGGGTAAAATTCTAACAACGTGTCCGCCTCGTCGCACAGCAGAAGAAGACAATCGCACGCAACTTGAGCCACGGTCGGATGCGTAGCCTAAAAACGTATGCTAATTGACTGTCTAATGTTGTTAATTTATCGTAGTTATATTTCATCGAACGGTATTTCACAAATTATGGACAACTGACAATGTGTTGAATCGCGGTTTGAATGGTTACGTTGCGGTACACATCACGATCAGACAAGCAAAAGCAGTAAGCAATCCCGTTAGTCATTCCCTTTGGGAAGTGCCAATTGCGTTCGTGCAAAGCGAAAGTACTTTGAGTTTACAGGAAGAGAAACATGACGCACTCATGGATAAAGGAAGATCGAGGGTAGGCGCAGGACGGTGACAATTTCCGTGGTAAAAAGGGATCGAAGGGAGGCTACCTTGTCCATTAGATCAAAAAAGAATCTGTCCTTGCGACGGCCAACCACCTGCATCCTCTGTCAACCAAACCCGACGTCAGTCACCTCAACACCACTGGCGTCGCTACTCAATAAGCACATCTACTCAGCCTTCTACGTAGGGCCTTATTAAAGCACAAATACTTCCCTAAATTGTACAGTGCGGTGCAATTTAACCAACTACTGCAATAAGGTTCCATTGAAAACAAGTCCCAGAAATGAAAAGTAAATTTTCAGCGCAAAATATATAAATAATCGCAAGAGGCAGACGGTTAATGGATTACAGCTTCGGCGATCGAGACTTACCGTAATCGCCAAGAGGAGTACCGTAATAGCTTCCGGTATTTTTGGATGCTGCGATTTGCAACATAACTCCCGATAGACGAACATACCGACACTGGAAATAGCGACACATCTTGCGACTCCCGTAGGTTCCTGTCTGCAAGTCTTTAAGAGAATCGTCACTATGTGCTCCTAGTAAACGAAACATTCATCGATGTGAGCATAAAAGTTAAGGGAACTTTGAGGTCAAAACTACAAGAGGCACACGTTTTACCTTGATATCAGGACAAGTTATGGTTGACACGTCCGTTCCATTCGGCTGCAAGACAGGCAATTTTGTCACGGTAGAAGGAAGCGATAGCAACGACCCTAGTATCGAAACAGCTTCGGTTCTCGGCGCCTATAAATATAACACAAGCGAATAATCAAATGTAGAGATCGAACTGTAATATCATTATCATTGTGGGACATTAATTACCTCTATATCTTGACTGTTTAGAATCACGCTAGCCGAGTGAATGTAATCATAAATTAAGAGGCTGGATCCGGGAAGTTTTAAGCTGAATAACCTCGGTCCTGTATGCTTAATAATCGTATGCAATACCTTGATATCGTTGCTAACGATACCGGTATGCACGGCTCTATAGAAGAGAGTCAAGTGTTGTTTCGGCAAAGGAATATCCAACGGTTGAACAGTTAGCATACAAATCAACCGATATGCTGCCAGTTTTCCCACCTCGTATTGCTGGGGCAATTGGATGGCCTGAAAGAAGGGGAACGATTAAATATCGCGGATTGTCCCAGAAATCTTAATTTCAACCCGCGTACCTTAAAGCACCATGGAGCTATGACCGTCAACGGTGGGACAAGTTCAGGGGCCGGTGGAGTCGCTTGGTTGTCACCGGAAACGCCTTGATTCATCCGTATCTGGATCAGCCGACGGAAATTTAAAACGATCCACCTCGATTTGCATAAACATCAAGATCGATCCTTCAGCCGACTTCGTACGTACCTTAATCATAGTTTGCGTAAGTTGCACAAGGTAATCCATGACTCTGCCATGAAGAGTGGGATCTTGAATACTGTTCACGTCTCCAAGGGCCGATAACATTCGTCGCCACAGTACGACCGCAACATCCGGTAACCAGCCGCGGACTCCACCTCCGGCCATGACGGACCTTCTCTCCGACGCATCATTTGTATCTATGAAATTGAACGAACCATCGGTTAATTTATGTTACGAGCGTATGGTAAGTCTAATCGCTACTTCTCAACGCACGGTGAAACGAAAAGAGCTAAGAGCGTACAGATACCTATGCTGCTGCCGTCGATATTTTCGATCTGAATGGGACTATCCTTGTTACTGTCGACACCGCTGCTCGGTGTCGGAGAGGGGCATCGAGGAGTCGGAGGATCGCTGTCCATCACGACGACGCTGTCCAAGGACCTAGCACGTCTGCTCGGCGACAATTTCGTGCTGGATCCCGAGACTCTGAAGCCACTAGATCGAACCATCCTGGCCATATCTTGCTCTATAAAAGTCGGAATAGCTGCACACGTGCGCCGGACTCGTTAAGCTTCCGTGACATCCACGGATGAGCACAGGCGTTATTAGAGAGGCTTACCTGGAACGCCGGCATTGGTAGAATGCGTTCGTCCCTTGTGCATCTTGTTGCGACTCTTACCGACGTAAATTGAGTTGTCACTGGCGCTCCTCGGCAACGGCCTGATCTTCCTTGGGTCTCTTAAAGGATGATCTGTAGAGGAAATAACGAAGGGGAAATTACACGTCCTTCGATTCTTCTCTTCCGCTTCTCCTCGACTTACCGGAGACGTGGTCCTTCGAGATAACATTGATCTCCTGGTCGACGCTTCCTCTGCGGGGAGGTTGCACACTTCCTGCCGATGCGGCCCGACTCCCGACGCCTCGGCGTCTCTTTGACTTTTGTTCGCTAAGTCTGTCTAGCGGCAAGTCATTCAAATCCAGGTTGTACACGTGTCTTGCCAAAACCCTCGTTAGAGTATCCAATGTTTTCTACGATTTCGTATCAACGGTTAATGTTGACAACCCATCGACGCGAAGCGCATCGTCCTGACGGTCACGCGAATAAAAATTACTGAGCTTACCGCCCACTCCTGAATCAATTCTTCCCATTGCGTGAGAGATGTCAGCACCTCGAGAAATTGGTCCCAGAGCTGCGCGGAAATTACAACGTTCAGATTTGCCTTTATCCACGTGACGATCAACGTCTGAAAGATGGCGGGCGCTAACTTTCCACCTATTCCCTCGTGGTGTTTCCGCCGCAGCGCCTTCCCATCCAATACCAGCGCGGTGATTTGCAGCAGCACCCTGATCATTAGAAACACTTCTTTAGAACGTCCCGTCCACTGCGGGTGGAACATCACATGCAAAATCACGACGGTCATTACCTGAGCAATTGTTCCCAAGTGGCAGGCTCAAGTCTGGCATGCATAACGACGTAGCGATACACGTTCAAAACTCTTTTACAGCTGTCGGTTTGTTCTTCGAGAAGGGCAGCGTTCGCATTCCCTCCCGGGCTCTCTAGGAAGAAGACATTCGATGCCTGCGTTATAAATACCTGCAAGACATTTTGTAAACCCGCTCTCACAAATAAATTCTCGCGATGTATCGCTCCGAGATATGAGTCGTTTCTTAGCCGCGGTTGTCGATAGCTCTCGGGTGGGCTCCTATCGGTATCGAGTTCTTTCTTTTGACCGTCCTCGGTGTCTCGGTCCTTGTGCCCATCCAACGGTTCCAGCAGAAAGGGTGGTATTTCCTGGGAAAACATTCAGCTATCTCAACCGAATGGTGTGGTCGTACAAAACCAACGGAAGTGTCTTACGTTCATTTGTATCCAGTCCTTATACACCGCAATGGCTTTCCGTATCGCCCCGGCATGAGTAAAGTCCAAGAGAAACGCCTGCCTGTACAACTCGTGAACGAAGTTCACGTTGTCGCGACTTCCATAAAGGACCTCCCTTACGAGAGCGAGTGCAGACACCGCACTGTCCTCTTGACTTTGATTTTGACTCTCGTGCTGAGACGACAGACTCGACTCGGGCGAGTGCGCATTCGGGTCGCTGGAATTTTGAGTAACCGAAACTCGGCGTAGCTCCGACTCTGTCGCGTTTTCATCGCTCGGACTTGTGCTGAAATTCACACGCCAAATTATGCTCCGTTCCGTACGTAGATTCTGCCGAGAAAGACCCGTTGTTCGAGCCCATCGGTTCCTTCCATCTCTCGCGTAAAACGAGAAAAGTAGAAAGTAATAACTAAACTCAGATCAAAATAAACCGCGGAAGGCATTATCTAGCAAACAGAGAAGATTAACCAGTCTCAGCGTAACGTCGACCGAGAGATAGACGAGACAAAGGTACCTCTGCGACAGGTGTGCAAAGGGGCCATCCTTCCTGGTGATGTGAGTAAAACTGGCTATCCATTTAACGAGGGCTACTTTACAGAGCACGTAATTGTCCTGACTTTGAGCGGAAGGTTTCCGCAACACCGGTAACTCCAGATTGGGTTTGTACAGCGAGAAATTCTCATTAAAATCGGGACAAATGTAGTGCAGATAAGTGGCCTTAAATCGTTCCAACAAAAACTGAAAGGCCTTGTATTGTCTCGTGTGTTTGTCCCTCCATTCGATCTTTACGACCTGCCGAGAAGAAAAGACGAGGGATGGGCGCATGAGTAAACACTAGCGAAAATAATTAAAATTAAATACCGTTTAAACTTACTTGCGTCACCATGAACTCGAGGAGGGATTCCAGGAATCTAACGGTCTCGTTATCCAAGGGCTTTTCGCCACTTTGCGGTGGCAATACCGGCCCGTTGTCGACTTGACCGACAGGACCCTGGGCAGGACAACCATCGTGAAAGATGCTTTGTCCCAAATGGGTATCATAGAATTCCCTTTTTTCCTTCTCCTCGCAATTGATCGTTCTAGGGGGTTTCTCGCGTTTGCCTTCGATTTTACGGTCATTTTGATGAGCGAGATGTTGGCTCGGAGGGAAACCAGGTACCAAGCTAACGAACATTCGGTGTATGTGATCAGGAGCGTTATCACCTAGTGCTTGATACCAGAGTATAAAGTACCTAGACTCCGGAGTAAGAAGGATGAATTAAAGTAACGGGTAAGGTAATATCTCGATCGACGCATATACGTGATAAGGATGTCATACCTAATGGCTTGTCTACGCAATTTCCAACTATTTCCTGGGTGAAGGAGCTTGTGTAATATCCTTGCTATACTATGACACTGCCACCGTCTGTTCAGTAATTCGGGAAGCAACGTCAGGACTTTTTCCAGTAGTTGCAAAACTTGCTCCAACTCCTCTCTGTGTGCTTTATGCACTGCAGCAAAAGGATAATAAAACACCAAAATCACCCCAGGCATTTATACGTTCATTCTGATTAAAACTTGTTGAATTAAATTGCTAAGACCATTAAATTCTTTATTCAATTCTAATTTAAATAAAAGCTTTGGATCGCTGCCATACAACTAATAAAGCAAAACAACTTTTTCACAAGTTCCACAGGTTTGAAGAATCTCTAGAATAGTGAATCAGGATACCTTGTATCAAGACCATCCCTCAAAACTTATCCAATTGAATGCATCGCATGCTATACTCACCGAGGTGGAAGGAAAGTTCTGTCGGCAAAGCAGAGGGTAGAAAGGGAGAATAGAAAAAAAGGACTATTATTAATAATATAGAGATTTAAATACACATACGGGATAATTTATTTAGCTAAGGATATTGTGCGGTTATAAGAGACATTGTTAACTATGATAAAATAATGGTCAAGTAATTTGGTTAGAACGGAATATTTAACATTGTTACCCTTTGCAGTTGGTCAATAGCGACTCAAACATAACATCCAGCCAAGATGTATTGCGTGTCTAAAAATGTGTTCTTACCTCGTTGTCGTAGATTTGCTTCGGCAGACACGAAACAGTCATACAGGATAAAATAAACGTGACTGAAGTTGCCCTCAAAAAATCCTTTTGCTTCGTCAATGTCAACATTTTCTGAAACATGAAAAAGGAATCTCTAACGATCAACTATATTTCTAATTGTCTCAAAGTAATGTAATCGAGGTAACAGTAATTCATGTTAAAAAGAGGCAGAATATTTGCTCTCGTTTGTCCAACATGTACAAAGTCAACCTTCTCGAAGTTTTACATATTGAATTGTGGTTTAGATCGCGGTGAACAGTTGCAATCATGCGAGGCTTCTTGCATCACGGGTATACCTTTAAGATTTGCTTATGTGGCAGTTTTCTTTTTCTTTTTCCAATTGAAGTATCAATGACAGATAAATTGGGGCAAGATCAAGAAGATATATGTGAAAATAATAAGACTGCCGTACATAGCAGTAACAGTGTACATATTCATTTATTCATAGTATATCTATCAGTATATGAGTACAATTAAATTAATTTTGATTTTAATTGGAAATTATCGATGACGTAAAATAGAAAACAAGCAAAATCCAAAAAAAACTTCTCTTTGCATTGTTCTTCAATTACGTAAGGTATTAGCTGATGTATAAAAACAATATTTAAGGATGTACTAGGTCAACGCGCAACTTTAGCCGCCACTGAAGGCCATAGTGGCTAGATCAGAGCGATCTCGCAGCCTGTCACTTTCGTATCATGATTTCAGATGCCTGAAACCTTTGACATCTACTCTTTTAATGTGCAAACTATTATCCTCATATACAAAAAACAACGATTTTTACATTCTCCGACACCGACGCTTGAATTCCAGATAAACCTAACATTCTAACGTAAAACAGGGATCGTGCAACCGTTATCGGCATTGCACAACAAATGTCCAGTAAATAATTGGATAATTCTTAATACAAATAGAAATTTTCCCAGTTAACTACATTAATTACAGGAGGTATGTCAATGTTTACAAGAAGATGCAGAGACAGATAGGACAGTAAGAGGGATCTCTACTATTAATTCCAATATAAGATAGGTGGATGGGAGGATGTCTTCGGACGACTTGTCAAAGCAAGACGAAATCCGTGTTACTTTGAAGGAAGCTCCATCTAGGACTACACTTTAATGGTCATCCATGAGCGGACGAGACGACTCGTAACGTCTAAAAGCAATTAAACGATGCCCGGAATTCGCTGATACTCATGTCAAACGAATCGACGCGGGAAACATTAAGTAATCACGGGACGGAGATCGGCGTCGCGGTGTCAGTTGCGACTGACGGGGCAGACACGCTCGAAAAAAGGGTTAGGAATCAAGAAACGTTCGCCGACTCGTTTCGAGGCATCCAAAGCCCAGAGAACCGACTCTTACCGAGCACGATCTTCAGGTGCTTAAACCTGGTAGCGCTGTCTTTCTTTACATCCTGAATTTTGAGCGTAGACTTTTTGACGTCCACGTGAAGTTTTTTGCCGAACATCGTTTATCTCGCGCCGCCGGCGGCCCCCGGGATGCGCACTTTCATCCAGCGAGCACGGTACGGTCCTCATCGGTCACGTTCGACGCGACACCGCTCCCCGTCCGCGTCGACTCCTGACCATGGCGGGACACCTCTGCGATCCGTCGGGACCCGTCGCTGGAGACACCCTCGACCTCGGTCGAATTTGGGGGTCGAACGACTCGCGAGCGACCGCTCAGCAATCGCTGGCAATCGCGGGGCCAGCGGCGACTATCGGGCCATGACACGACTGGACACGACTGGAAGCAGAAAGTGGCATCGGAGTGGAGTGCTTCGTCCTCCGGTGCCGTCGCGCACCGCGCGCGTGCAGCGCCACCGGCGGCATCAGCGGGAACGACGGCGAACGAGGCGCGCCAAACTCGACCGATTCAGGATCCCGCGACCTTACTCGACTCGGATGAATCGATCAGGGATGGACCGACTCGTCATCGGACGATTCCCGCAAACGAGAAGATTTCGATCAGCTCGGTCGATCACGGGGTTCGACTTGTTGCGAGGCGCCATCCGCCGGACTTAATCGAGCCGCGGGTCCGCTCGACAGATGTCGCGCCCTGTACCTCACCGCCTGCCTGCACTCGGGCGAGCGAGCAAAACAGCGCGCGGATCCAGTCTCGATTCGAGCTGATTCGAGCTTTCCATCGACAAGAATTTCGTCTCCTAGTTCGAGCGTTCCCCTCATCGCTACCCCCGGGAGGTCCACGGCGCAAAGGGAGCGACGCCATCGGACAACGGCCGCTCCTCCGACCGTGCCCTTCGCCTCTCTTCCTGCGAAGAGGTTCTCCTCGAGATGGGGCCGGAGCGAGTGGTCGCGGGGAGGCAAAGCGGTTTGCGGGTTCCGTTCGCTTCTAGATGGCCGCGGAGCCCTTTGGCCTCGAGATGGACGCAGAGCGAGCTGTGGTGCGACGAGCTGCGGGTGTTCCGCCACCTCGGCCTGGACGAGGCGGCCCTCGCGGCCGGCGTCGTCTGCCGGCTCTGCGAGACAGAGGCGAAGATCAGGTGAGAGGTTCGCGACGAGCCCTGGAAACGCCAACTCAACCACCGGTTCCTTCTCCAGGGACGACGAGTCACGATTCGCCGATGCGGCTGCGGAGTCCGTCGAGGATACGAGAGTCGAACTGAGCGAGTTTCCGCGACGAGTCTGTCGCCGAGGAGCGGCCGCGCCCGCCTATCTCTTGTCGGAGAAGTACACCCGACTCGTCGAGCGATCCGCACCGAACGGGAGCAGCGACCGGTCCCGCGGGCCCTTCTGAATTCCAGCCACGGAGGCGGGCCGCGGTCTCTCCCCGAGACTCCGGACAATGGGGGCGGATTCGGCAAACGCTGCTTCCGCCACCAATTCCCGGGATTTACGGTCCACGGTCGCCGCACACGAGAAGGACTCGTCCACCCCCGGCGACCACGGGTCACGAGGACGAAGTGCTCGGTCACGGACGAAGACTGCGCCAGAGGGCGGAGGGTCTCGATGTCGACTCCCTTCCCCGAATAAACTATCTTACTCCGAGCCGATGGGTCGATTGGCGCCGTGCTCCGCATTCGAGGAATCCGCGTCGCGCGACGATCGGAGCGCCCGGAGGATCCCACGGAAGGATGGAGGAAGAGACGGAGGTCCTCGTCCGGGTTTAATCTCGGCCGGCCCGCATCGCGCCGATCGAGGACCCCCCGGTCGATCGACGGCCGGCCGCCGAGGGGCGGCGGTCGGGACCGGCCGGAGAAGAACGGAGAGAGCGAGTGCCGATGGAGCGGACAATGGAGGCGGGGTGCTCATTTGTCTGCGGGCATTGTTGTTCGCCCGGGCGGAAACACGAGCCGCGCCGTCCCCCGTCCCGCCCCGCGACGCGCTACCGCCCCTCCCCCTGCCGCCTCGCGCGTCCCTCTTTACGCGGCCAGCGGGAAAACGGCCCGCGGCGTCGCGCGACCTCGGTGCGCGTCGTCCGACCGGTCCCGCCGGGCCCGACCCGGCCCGACCCGGCCGAGCGAGCCCGACCGGCGGAGGAGGCCGAATTTGAAGAAGAAAAGGACGCGAAGGGTGTGGGTACGTCTTCCGGCTCATCGAGCAGGCGAACGGATGCGTCGCGACGTGCTCGGCGTCCCCGTGGATTATGCAGACCTCGCGGCGGGCCCCGAGTCGGGCCCGGAGCGACATCTCCCTTATCTCGGACGTCGGTCGAGCTTCCTCCTTAACGGGTGACCGGGCGCGGGGACGCGCCCCGGTCCCGGGGCGAACCTCTCCGCCGGGACGCCCTGAAGGCAGGTAGCTCCCGACGCTCGCTCGCTCGCCGGGGAAAACGACCGGGAGCGCGGGAGGACCGACGGAAGCGTCGCGTCGCCGGCCGGGCGGAGCGCGAGAGCTCTCGGCCTTCCGCGGGATCTCCAGGTAATTTGCCATGTAAATTCGAGCGGGCCGTATGATTAGGCGGGCTGCTACTAAAGGGCACTTAGGAGCCCCGAGGGCCGTCGTGCCTCGGCGCGATCGATCGGCCGATCGATCGATCGATCGGCCCGTAGATCGTGCCAGATGGTCTATAGGATATCGGGCCATTATGCGCTCGCTCGAGCATCCGTAATGAAATGAAAAAGTTACGGTACCGCCCACCGAGAGGCGGCGGGGGGGAACGAGCGGTGGATCCGGCGGGGCAGGAGACGTCGCCGGCGACGCGACGCCGCGAATTTTCCGTGGGAACGCCGGCCACCCCGCGGCCAAGGAGCGCGCCGCGGCCCGCCCGAGGAGGAAGCGAGTCGGGCGAAGGGTTGCAGCGAGTTAAAGCGTTAAGTAGCCGGTGCGTCCGCTGTCAGTCTCCGCTCTAATTAATCGTAATTGACGGCCGCGCGAAGCCTCGCACATTGACGCAGCGCCGCGCCGGCTCGCGGGGACGTTTTCGCGCCTCGAGTCCTCCGCCGTGTCTCCGGGCGCCGAGGACGCCGGCGTCGACGGACCTCTCGACGGCCTCCGATTCTCCCTCGACGAGGCGCCGCGACGCGGCGTGGTCTCTCGCATTTCTCGAAACTCCGTCAGGGGGCCCGACGCGACTTAGGCCGGCGCTGCCACTGCTGCTCCGTATTTAGATGAGTTGACTTCAATTGACGTGTACCGTGAGAATCCCGTGTTGCGCGTCGAGGACGGCCCGTCCCGCTTCCGATCGCTCTCTCTTTCTGTCGGGGCCCTTCGAGCCCTGGCAACCCTCTTTTCGGTTTCGAGGTCGCCCCCCTCCCCCCTCTACAGTCCCTCGCGAGGACGCGATCGGTGGCCTCCGTCTCCAGCGATCCCATTAAGCCCGGAACGCCGCCGGAAAGTGGCTCGAGCCGACGTAATCCAGCGGTAGGAAATGATTCCCCCTAAGGAGGTTAGGTTCGCGTCATCGCGGTCGATCTCGCATAGAGATCCAACCAGGGGAGCGCCGCGGATGACACCCCCGGCAAACGGGGTGTCGCGAAGCGACGCGCGCCGCCCATTGGGCCGCTTCCGGCCAATCGCGCGCGTCCCCCGAGCCGTCCCGGCGCCGCCGTCCCTGCGGTATGCCGAGACAGATACTCACTTTCTGAATAAAATTAATTATTTACCGGGGTGCAAGCCGTTTGCCGTTAAACGGCTTTCAAAGCCGACAGGAAAATTGATTTTGCGAGAATTATCGGGGCGGCGACGCAAACGACGGCGAGTCGATTTCGAGGGAGTGTCATTTCGAAAAACGGATTTTGTAGAGGAAATTGGTCTCAAGTGGTGAAGACGTTAATGAAAGATATGGCACGCTTTGGAGGTAACGTCGTATCGACCTTGAACAATCTGGCACTCGATGTAACAATTATTAGTCCTTTGACTGCGTAAGGCGTATGTATACGCCTAATGTTTCGTCCACTATTGCCCTGAGAAAAAAAAATTAGAATTGACCGAAACAAATACACATTGTCGCCTGGATCATGCATAATAGCAAGAAACAATTATTTCATTGCGAAGAAAATTGACGTTGACTTAAAATAATTTCCTTTACTCGGTATAACATTTCTTTGGGCGCATCTCATCGCGGGATTTTGTTGTCGGAATTTTGTCCATACGTCGGAAGGGCTTAGCAGTGAAAGGGTTAACGGCAAATAAATATCGCTTGAGGTCGACGGAAGAAAAAGATCACCGGTAACCGTTACAGGTTCGAGAAAGACATCATTCGGTAACATTTCAACTCGTCACTAGAGTACCACTAATCTTGTCAAAATCTCACTCCGAAGCGAATCAACTTCTTCCTTTTAACGAGTCTGTACGCGCAGAATATCCCGACAAGGAGGCAAACGAACTTGCCAAAGCCGAGCCTAAGAAAACCGAGCATCGTTTGCCCCTTGCCTTAATTACGTCCGATCTCGTTACGCCGACGATAGCGAGACGAGATGCGTTCGACTCATGAATGTCTTTTCTTCTCGAAAGCGATCACTTGGCTCGAAATCGGTTTAAACGAAATCCCAGCTCTGGACTGGCCAGGAAATCAATCGTTGGAAGCGTCGCGACATGGGGTGCGACCAAAATCCCGGGGACGGAATCGCGGCGGTCGTCGACGGAAGGGCACGAGGGCGGAAATATCGGGCCGCGATCGGGGCGACGCATCTCTTCGGGTGTCCCGACTCCAAGGGGGGTGCGGCGTCGACGCGGCGAAACGATCATTCGATTCATAAACGTCATCGTCGGGCGAAACGAAACGGAACGGGACGGGACGGGACGGGGACTCGTAACGACTCCGGGGAAGGGTGGACGCCGGGTGGCGGTTATCCTCGGGGCGATCGACGCTTACTTAGCGCCTCTCCCCGCGAGCCTAGATGGTTATCGGCGCCGGGGAAACCGGCGTCTCTCCCGGGACGTCTGGTCGGTCCATAAATTGATCGCCACCCGGAGGAAGCGATCGCGTCCCCTCTCGGGAAAACAATTATCCCGTTCTCCGTCGTAACGAACACTCCGCCGGGACGGAGGTCGCGCCCTTGGAGGGAGGGGCGGAAGGAGCGATCCAATTATTCGAGGGATTCGGTTACGCGGAGCGAAGCGTGCGCGATAGCGGAGGACGCGAAAGATCGGGAGGAGGAAGAAGAAGGAGGGTAAGGGGAGGGCGCCTCGGCACTCGGGGGCGTAAGGCGACACCCGAGCCACCTGCGACGCCCGGACCCCGAGGAGACGCGCGGCCTCCCGTTCGGGGAACGACGTCGCCCTTTGTCGTCTCTTCCGCCGCGAGAGCGGAAGCGGAGTCGGTCCTCTCCCCGCGGACGATTTCGTCGGAGTTCGATGGGGAACGATCCGCGACGCGACCCCGAGCCGGTTCCCGTCGACCATCGGCAGCCGCGAGCTGGGGCTCGGGCTCGGCCTCGGGGCGGGCCCCTAGTTTGAAACCCGACACCGAGTCCCCGGCGAGCTCTCTCCGTTAGCTCGCATCCTCGCGTCCTAAACTAAATCATAACCGTATTATCCGGCCTACAATGGCCCGGCCGGTGAAAAGCCGCCTGCGATCCCCGCCCGCGTCCGGGCCCGTCGACGTCGCCGTCGCCGGGCGTCGCGGGCCGCGCGGCCCGCGCGCGGAATCCTCGATGTTACGAATTAGTCCGTTCATTACACCCTCCGCGGTATCTGGTCCCCCGATCTCCCAGGTCCCCTTTCCGCTCGGCGGGACTTCCAGGTACCCGGTGCCGGTGCCCCGGTGGCTCCGAGAGAAACGAGGCTCCCGAGGTTCCTGGAAAGCGTGGGTGCCTCGTCCGGGCTCGGACGGGATCGGGATCTGGGCCCCTACAAATCATAACGCCGCGCGCGAGATACCGAGGGCTTTCCTCCTAGGGATGGAAAAGACGGGAGGAGACGCTCGGCGTCCTGCCGAAATAAATTACGCGGCGGGCCTCAGGGGCGCGCGCATAAATTAATTTCAACTGGCCGCCCGTAAATACCGGGGCCGAATCACCGCCGGCGCGTCACGATCCGAGAACGGGAGCGAGCGGGCCTTCCGGGCCGTCGCAGATGCCCGGAGGGGCCCGGGCCCCGGGCTCCGGGCCCCGGGACCCAAGAACAATGCCGAGACGTCGACGCTGCGCTCTTGGCCGGCGGGTCGCGGCCCGGCATTATTCGACGGCGGCCGGCTTTGTTGGCGCAGGGGGCAGATGCGCGGCTCACTTCGCCGTCCCGAGTTCCCGTTTCAATGCTCGGCTATTACGAGCGCCTAATGACCGCATTGTAACGGCACCGGCCTCGTTACCGCGCCTCGTTCCCGCGCCGACGGAAACGACGCCGCGAACGAGTTGTCACCTTCGATCCTCTCCTCGTGGGTCCCCCCGCCCCGTTCCGTTGGCGCGGTGCGCTAACAAGTAGCCATTGTGAGGCCCGTGTCGAGACGCTCCTCGACAGCGGTATCGCCCCCTCGGAGGGTCGGGCCCGAAGACGGGCCCCGTCCCTCTCGGCGCGCCGGGCCCGGCTCTGTGGGGTCCCGGGCTTAACTTTACGATCTCTCGAAATCCCCTCGGGCCTACGCGGCTAATAGGACCAAAATTATAACAGACCGGTGAGCGCGCGTCGACTGCTCTTATTCCGCCTGATCGCCGCCGGGAGAGCGCCCCCTCCCCCCGGGGCCCTTTCGGGCCCCTCCCACGTAGCCCGAGCAAATACATCTGGAACGGGGATCGAATGACGCCGATCGCTCCCGCGACTCGCCCGAGCTCGTCCGGGCTCGCGAGGACGCCCTCCGTCGTCCGGGTCACGGCGATGGGCCCGATATATATCCGGCACTCGGCGACGATTCGCTCGCAGATAAGGGCGCCGATCGGCACAATGGACGCGAGCTCTCAGGGTCTCGGCCAGATGCGCTTTTCTCGGGCCGGCCGATCAAAGCGGAAGAAGGAGCGCGCCCTTGCGCGTCGGATGTCGGCGATCCGTCTTCTTACCTGGCGACGCGGGCATCGGCTCCCGAGGGGCGCCGCGATCTTATCGGCCGCGACTATAGCTCTAATAGAGATCGACCCCCGGAATCCCGCCCCCGGTTTCCGGGCACCCACCTAAGGAAACTCTCCCAAGGGTTCTTTTAAATAACATCAACTTTATTCGATACAGCTCGATCGTACATGTCCATGGTTCTCTCCTCGAGTTTCGCCTTAATTACTTGTGCCGACGATAGGGTCCGTCCGCCGAGGTCCCGGAGCCCCGGCGACGCAGCCCGGGGCCTCTCGGGGTACTCGGGCGTCTTCGGAATGTTGCGGGTAGCTCGACGCCGGGACGCACGGCGAGGACCGAGTTTTACAAAAAAGGTTGTGCGTGAGACGCGCGTCCCTCCTCGGTCGTCGGTCCCGCGGGGGTGCTCCGTCTCTCCTCCCGTGCCCTCCCGGACGCGCCGGAGAGGAGGCGACCCGACGGCGACGACGACGACGGCGGCGGGGGCGACTCGCGGTCGAGTCGCGGAGGTATCTACATATGTACAGGAGAGGGTCCCGGGGCGTCCGCCGGGTCGCCCGGGGTGCACGGTGAGGTTCCACCGGGAAGCGGCGTCCTTCTCCGAGGCGCCGGATGCAGGGGCCTAGCTCCTCCTTACCGAGGATGGGTCTCCCTCGCCAGCGCCGCTCTGCGCCCAGGGTCACGCGCAGTGTCACAAGGTGTGGTAGTCCCCCAGGACCACGGGGCTGGGGTAGCCGGAGTGCGAGGTCGTCATGCCGGTGGGGCCCATCCCAGGGTAGGCAGCCATGCCGGTCCCGTTCATCGTCACGGCGTTCATGGAGTTGACGCCCTGCATGGCGTTGGGCAGGACCGAGGACGGGCCCATGGGGCCGAGGCCGCCGACGGAGGGCGCGATCGCGCCCATCTGCATGGAGCTCGCCATGTGCGGGAGCGACTTCTGCAGCTCGGCCGACGTCGGCGTGCCGATCAGGTAGTCCTGCAACGGAGAAAGAAATAGTTGATGGCGTTCCCTTCCTCCCGGCGGAGTCGAGAGGTCTGCGCTCTTCTCCGGGAGCCAGGGGGTACCGACCTGGGGCCCGTAGTACGGGATGTAGTCCAGCTGGCTCTTCTGCTGGGCGCAGCTGGGCGGAGGGGGCGCCAGGGTGGCGGTCGGGTGGACGAGGCCGTGGACGCCATGCCCGGCCTGGCCGCCCTGGCCGCCCGGCTGGAGGTGGCCCTGCAGCTGGTGGTGGAGGTTCCTCTTGTCGTCGCCGCTCTCGCTCCCGGCGTCGTGGTGCTGCACGTGGTGGGAGGAGGCGTGCGGGTGACTCAAGGTCGAGCCGTGTCCCTGGTGGTAGGAGTGCGAGCCGGACACGGAGACCGGAAGCGGGAGGTGGTACATACCGGAGGACTGCGGGTGGTCCACCATTTGCTGCTGCTGCTGCTGCTGTTGCTGCTGCTGCTGCTGGACCGCGCACGCCGACTGCTGGACCTGCTGCTGCTGCTGCTGCTGGCCGACGGCCTGCCTCCGGGCGTCGTCGCCGCTCTCGCTGCTCGAGTCCCCCGGCCCTCCCCCTTGGCTCTTGTCCTCCCGCTGGCTGCTGCGAACCACGAGTGGCCGATTACGCGAGCGAACCGGAGGCCATCTCTCGCGGAGGGGGGCGGGGGTGGAGCGGCGCTCGACACCCTCGCGCCTCGCGGTAATCGGTCGCGATTTACGAGCGAAGCGACGCGCGAGCGTCGAGGGAGCGGCGCGCCAAATTGCCGGCCGACACCTGCCGAGCCCCGAGGACGAGGGGAGGGGGCAGGGGGGGCCTCGTAAACTCGATTCAACGGGACGGACCTCCTCGGCGTCGCGGCGGCCGCGCGGACCGACCTCGAGGGTCCACCGGTCCCCGCGGCCGGGGCCGGCGATCGTTAAGCGCTTGTTTTACATGTCGTTAAACCGAACCTCCGCGATACGGTCCCGTTCCATCGACGGAATCCCGCCGGCGGAATCGACGGAAGTCCGGGAGGGAGGGAGAGAGGGAGAGAGAGAGACCGGGGTCGGAGCCGGGGCCGTCGCCCGCCGACCCGAAAGAGGTGTCCTCGGGAATGCCTTATCTCCCGAAGATCTCGCCGTAAATTTGTCCGCGCCGGGTACCCTCGAGGGCCCCGGGACGGCCGCGAGTCCTTCGAGCGTTATTTTGATTAGAATTTGTGACTCATCGGCGGATATTTATCGCGAGCCGGACCGCGCGGGGGCGCGACTCCTCGTGGCCCTCGCGGCCCCGCTCGCGGCCGGGGGTAATCTGGATTTTATGACGAGGTGGCCCCGTGCGCGTGCGCGCGAGAGAGCGCGAGCCCGATCTTATCTAAGGACCGGCCGAGTGCGCGAGCGGGCGATAAACTTATACGCGAATTAGTGGAAGCGCGGCCCGATACGATCTTCGCAGCGCGGTCAATTTATAGAGAAATTAAATTAACGATTATGCAAATCGGCAGGACCGCTCGGCCAGCGACCGACCGACCGCGTCCGTTTGCCGAATCGCGGCCGGGTCCGACCGTCCGGGTCGACGGGAGCCGAGAGAGGCCGGCAGCTGATTCCATAAGCGGATAGGTAAAATCGCCGGCCCTAAAATAATGGAGGGCAGCCTACCGTGTACACATCGCGCGAGGGCGCTGTTTGCCGAGGGCGGGCGCGGTCGGCGGTCGCCGCGCGTTTGCGGAGGATCCGCCGGGGAGGGCCGACCTCGACACCGCACGTCGGGAGGCCGTCGTCCGGGTCGGCCGACCGGCGGGCGCGCTAAAACGCTTTCGGTGTTTCGAAATTCCTTGATCCGGATTACCGGGCTGGCCGAGCACTCCGCGGTCGTCGCTCGCGGCCAGGAGGGTTCCGGACCGCCGCGGCTACGTCGGCGCTCGCCTCCGCCAAGGACCTAGACGCGAGAGCGGCGTTTTTACATAAGCCGTATTTACATAAGCCCGGCGCGGACCCGACGCGGTTCCGCGGCGGAGGAGAGCGCGTCGCGCGACGCCCAGGGAACGACCCGGCCCGAGCCGGACGGCCTCGACCGCCGTTGATTGCCGTCGCTGCAGCCGCGCGCGTTACGTAACGCGAGACGAATCGGCCGCGAGGGGGGAAGGAGGGCGGCCAAGTGACGCACGGCTCTAGGAAGCCGCGAGGGGCATTCCCGCGGCGGCGCGCGGGACGGATCCGGGCCCGCGACGCGGAAGGAGGGCCGCGCGGCGCGGCCGCGTATTCCGAGAACGGCCGAATGAATGCCCCTCTGTGTCCTTAGACGCGCCGGAGGGCGAGGGACCCTCTCCGGGCGGCCCCGGGGCCCGGGTGCCCGGTTTTTGCCGGCGTCCCAGAAAATGGCCGCGCCGCCCCTCGCCGCCATCCGGCATGGCGGCGCGACCGAGCCTCCCTCCCGTTGCGGTCGACCCTCCTCCTCCCGCTCCGCGGCCGCTTCGAGGAAAGCGGCTCGATAAGGAACGCGGCCTGTTGCGTCTCCCGCGCAATCGCTCCGCGACGGGATAACCGTCGGAGGGTCCCTCCTTCGAGATCGCCCTCTCCGCGTCGTCGAGTCGCGACGACCACCGTCGAAGATGGCGCCGCCGGCGCGCGCCGCATCCGGCCGGAGGGTGGCGCGTTAATAACGTTTTGTTGACACGGGAAGGGCGCGGAACCCATTACCGACCCCCTCGAGCACTCGACGACCCACCGCCGGTCGACGACCCCGCGGGGGCGGCTGGACCACCTCGCGTCGCGACGCTACGCGCGTCCCGCCTTGCCTCGCCGCGCGGCGCGGCGCGGAGCGGAGCGCGAGTGACTCACGCGAGATGGACCTCATATCGCGCGGCCGCGATATAAAGCCGGCGGCGTCGCAATCTGCCCGATTGTTTACGTCGAGGCGGATAACGCGGCGCCCCCCCCCCCGGTTGCGGGAGTCGAGGAGCGACACGCGGGGCGACGACAAAGGCGACCCTCCGCGCGGCAGGCGAGAGACTAGGCCGCGAGAGTCGAACCACTCGATAAGAGCCCTCGAGGGGCTCGACGCCGCTCGACGCTGCTCGACGCCCCGTCCCTCGGGAGCGGGCCGCCGCCTCCTCTCCTCGGCCGGATGCGGCCGGCTTCCGAAACCGAGGCTTTCCCGGAGAGGATTTCCTGTAATCGATCCGCGCCGGCGCCGCGAAAAACCCGCGCCGGGGTCCGACCGCCGTCGCGTCGGTCCGCGCCGCCTCTATGGCGACATACAGAAGCCATAGGAAATTCGATACGTCCCCGTGACGGGCCTCCCGCCTCCCCGGGCTTCGGTGGTGCTTCCCGCTTCCTCCCTCGCGGCCCGGCCGGCCTGGTCGCGGTCGCGGTCGCCGCGGCGACGCGCCGTCGCGGGAGCCGCGCCGCGCCGTGCCGCTTCTAAAATCGGATCTGGAGCAACGACCTTCGAAACGACGCATCCTCCTTCTCTCTCGGGGGACCCCCGGTTGCCGACGAGGGCGGACTTCCGGACGCGAGTCCGCGGATCCCGCTCTCCCCCGGACGGATTCCGCGGCGCGGCCGACGCGACGAAACGCGAGACCGAAATAGGCCCGCTCGGCCGACTCTCGTCTCTCTCTCCTCCCTCTTTCTCTCACCTCGTCTCTCTCGCGCGAGCGCGTGGAAGAGTCTTCGACGAGTCGCCGCAGTCGCCGTCTCTCTTCCCTCGCGACGGGCCGGAAGCGGAGGCCGGAAGCGGTAGCGTCCGATCGTTCCGGCGCGGGATTCTCGAGTTCCGCGGTCAAGCCCGAACGTAGCCCGGGAAGGGACGAACCGATCCGGCCGAACGACCCATCGATATCGTTACATCTTTTAGATTTGATCGCGGATTCATTCTCTTCGGTCCAAGAGCACGGCTCCATGCAGGCAAAACGCCTGGTCGGTGGGACGGAGCTTCCAACGTCGTCGCGTCGAACGTTCCCGTATCCGTATCGGAAAAAGATATTGACGCCTCCTTGGCATCAAAAAAACAGTATCGACGCGTCATTGGCATGAAAAAAGGCATCGACGTGTTTTTGGCATAAAAAAAAAGGTATCGACGCGTCTTTGGCATCAAAAAACGGTATCGACGCGTCCTCGGCATCGAAAAAGAAGCGTCGCCTCCTCGTCTCAAATCAAGATACCCCGAGCGTATACAAACAAAGCCTACATCTCGCGTCTTCTACGTGGATCAAGGGCCGCCGTGGACGAACTTCTTCGTCGATCGATTCAACGTCCGAGGAGGGGCGACGGAAGACTCGCTAAAAACTGCTTCTTCGTCGCGTCCGCTCGGTCCGACCTGACGCGAGTACCTTTCGAGGTCGAGGGAGTCGACGGGGACGGAAAGAGGCGTCTCCTCGTGCTCGATACCGACCTGTGATCCGCGGCCCGGTCGCGCTGCCTCCGGTTCTTGAACCAGTTGCTGACCTGGGTGGTGGTCAGGCCGGTGCTCTCGGCGAGCTCGCGCTTCTCCCTGGGCGAGGGGTAGGGGTTGTTGGTGTACCACTTCCTCAGGACGCTCCGCGACTTCTCCTTGAAGCAGTAGGAGGTCTCCTCGCCGTCCCAGATGGTCCTGGGGAGCGGGAACTTGCGCCTGACCCGGTACTTGCCTGCCTCGGGGAGGGGAAACGTCGTCGTTAGTCCGTCCGGGCGGGACGTAAGGGGCGCGAAGGGGCCAGAGTACCCACCGACGGCGCCGAGGGGTCTGCCGCGCAGCCTCTCGGCCTCGATGTAGTGCGCCTTGAGCCACAGGGTCTGCAGATTGTTGTGGTTCTGGGGGCTGAAGGTGTTGCTCTCGAGGATGCGGTACAGCTCCTTGAAGTTGGCGTGGTGGAAGGCGACCAGGGCCTTCGCCTTGAGCACGCTCTCGTGCCGATGGAGCCGCGCGCAGGGCGGCAGCGACCAGAGGAACCGGCCCAGCCGCTCGAGGGAGCCCGCTTGCTGCAGCACCTGGACAGACGACATCATCGCCTTGAAGACGACAGACAGGGGGGTCACACTGTTAGTCGGCACAAGAGGGCGCGATCCCCGGGCCCGGAGACCGGGCCGGGCAACGCACCTCGCAGACGCAGGCGACCTGCTCCTGGGTGAAGCCGAAGCTGGAGAGCGCGCCGTTGCCGGGGGCGGAGGGGGCGGCGGCGGCGGAGCCGGCCGGGCCGGCCGCGCCGCCGCCCGCGGAGCTGGCGGGACTGTCCTGGGGACTGTAGGCGCCGCCCGGCCCGTAGGACCCGGGCGCGTCCATGGGCCCCAGAGCCGTCGGCGTGCCCTGAGGGCTGTAGTCGGTGGCGGAGGCCAGGACGTCGATGGGCGCCGCCGCCGGGCCCGGCGTCGGCCCCGGCGCCGCTCCCCCGTAGGCCATCATCGCCTCATCGCCGGTGTCCAGGCCGGAGCGGGCGGCCGGCGCCGTCCTCTTCCTCGGCTCCACGGTGGCCGTCGGGTCGCGAGAGGTTAGGACCGCCGGCGGGGCATCTCCTCCCGGGGGAGCGGAGCCGCTTATTTTTAGAGCCGGCCCTCGGCTCTCCGAGTCCGAGTCCGAGGCCGCGCCCGGGGGATATCTCTCGGGTTACCGACGCGGTAACGGGAACCTCCCGCCGTTCTCCGGTCCGCGGTCTCGCGTTACCGGCGCACTCCCGATCCGATTAGGGGCGCACCTGCGCGCACCTGTGCGCACCCACCCGGAGCTCGCGCGAGCCCGGCGGCGCGGCCGGCGCGGCCGCGCGGCCGGCACGGCCGGCTCGGCAGCTCCGATTATAGACGCGGGAGCGCCGGCTATTCTGGGCGCCGCCGCCGCCGCCTGCCCTCCGGGGGCTCGTCGCCTCTCTCGCTCTCCGTCGGCACCTCCCGGGACCCGGCCTGCCCGACTCGGCAGGTTCGCTCTTCCTCTGGCGGAAGCCGACGGCTCGGCCGCGGTCGCGCCGCGAGAACGGGAAGCGCGTGCGCGTGTTCGCTCGACACCCGACGAAGAAACCTTCGCCTCCACGTTCCGGGGACGACTGCGGACCGGCGCATCGGCGCCTTCCGCCGCCGCCGGGACGATTGGCCGAGTGGGGCTCCCCGCTACGCCCGGGGGCGGGCCGAAGCTCGCCATTGGCCGGGGGGCGGAGGCCCCGCCCCCTGGCTCCTCGCGCGAGTCCTCGCGCTCCCTCGTCCGCCCTCGTCCTCGCTCGAGTCCTCGCCCTCGCCCTCGCCCTCGAGCGCTTCCTGCTCCGCGAGCGCGTGTCGGAAGTAACGCGAGTCGACTTAGGGGAACGAACAAAAGTACTTGCGAATCATTACGCTACGAGTAACAAACGTCTCGCGGGATTAACCGACGGATGCCTCGCGGCATGGGGACCGCGAAAATTTCGACGCGCCGCGTCCCTCCACCCAATTCCCTTTATCGCTTTCCGGCGTAAACGCGCACCGATGTCGCGTCGTCCGATTTTTCCGGAACCGCGAAAAGGAGTCCGGATTCCCTCGGACGCCTCGTTCGCATCCTGGGGAAATGCGTAGGGCCCGTCTCCCTCGAGCGGTCGGCTCTGAAAGGGTCCTGATGGCGTTCGCATTAAAGATTGTTTGCCTTTCCGAGGAGGAAGGGTCATTAGAAAATGCGGTAGTCCGCAAACATGGGGTCCATCCCTCGTTCGAGGAGGGAACCTACCCTGTTAACGATAATATTCTAATTTTATAACATTTTTGTTCGAAGTTTTTTGCAGACGTGGTATACTAATTTCATAACATATTTTCAAATAAAATGTATAACGTATATTACAAGTGTAGTACATACGTGTAATGAATTTATAATATATGTTGTACATTTGTCTTGTACATCGGTACTTGATATTAAACGTTTTTCTGCAAACAAATAAATGTGGCATATGTGTCGGGCACGTTCTAGGGCGATTTCAGAAACTAACCTACCTAAAAAGCCGATACAATTTTTTTTTGCAATTATCGTGGTATCGAGCCCGGAACTCACGGAAAAGTAGCAGGTACGTTGTCCTTGATACTCCCGGAGATTTCCATTGAATGTGAGAATCTTTTTAAATATTATTTAAGTATTTCTCGGATTCAAGAATCTCGCTACAATGCTTCTCCGCCAGTACCACCGATATTGTCATCTTTCGATTAAATTTGCTTAAAAATAAACTTACGTAAACGATGATAAAATTAAAAGCTCATCTACGGAATTTCCAAACACGTACCAAATGACTTTCGAATACCAAATTTATCATTTTTCGAAATCTCGCACATTTGCAACGCGGTGTTATAAAATTGTAAATTTACTTAGAATTTTATGATAAATGTGTACTAATTCACCATTAAGCTACCATATTTATAATTTTACTGCAACCATATGTACTAAAAGTATATGAATTTTTTTTTCAACAGTTGTAGCCAACTATAAAGGTTTAATTTTAACATTCGGCATTTTAGCTTCCTTTTGAATATCACCAAATATATACATATTTCATCGTTTGCGGAATTCCTCAGGGCGTTAAAATTACATCTGGTCAGGCTAAATACGGTATTTCGAAGGGCTAGACAAATAAAGCTAAATTCCCCCTTCCGCCCCCCCCTCCAACTTCGGTTATCCGATTTTTGTTGCAGCAAGATGCAACAGCTTGCAGTGGATGCGATAAGGCGACACGTTTTATTTAAATACGAGCGTCGTCACCGTTCCGGTCAACCGGAGCTTTGTCAACATTCCGACCGGAGCGTTTTCGCCGCTCCGGCAAAAACGCATGGGGTGATCCTGGTAGAACGTGTCTGTGGCGCAATCTCGCGTTCCTCTCGTTATAGCGAGGACGCGAAAGATAAGACGCGTCGCCGGTTCGACGCGCACGACGCACGGTGGTTCAAAGCGCATTTCTAGAACGACAAGACTATGTATGCTTAGTGAAATTGTATTTGAAGTTTATATACATAAACATGTATTGGCATTTGTCAAAGATATACACATATGTATGTACAGAATATGGTATACTAATATAATATAATATTAACTTATGCTAATCATGTTTATTCAGTATGTTTAAGATCACTATTAGAATCTACGCTGAGAGAAAAGATTTGCTGTTTTAAAGAAATACATATTGTTGACGTGTTTACTGTCCCCTACATCGTATGTGATTGCAGGAAAGAATTATTTTTTTGCCATGAAAAATTGTTATCGGTCTACAAGAATTTTCTTTACTTAATCTAACATTTCTTTGGATGTACCTGATCGCAGGATTTTGTTGGCGGAATGCGGTCCCTTTGGGTCAGACGATATTTTTATTTTTCTCACTGTATGCTCTTTGATTTGCGAGATTGTTACTTTATTTCGGGAACTTGTGGGAGATTAATTACGAGGTAGATAGTAATGTAGGGGAAAAAATGATTACAATAGGCACTTTTAGTTTTCCAGATCAGCAAGTTTTGTACGTTATATGGGTAATACGGTGGAGTATACTGGTTTACAGTACTAATAGACTCTAGTAGTACCGAATGTCAAAGTATATTTAGCAACTTCAAATGTAAGATAACAAAGCATATATGTTTTTGTCGCCCTAACAATGCACGTTGAATCACTAGCCGGCGGCGTGAGCATCCGGACGCGACGTCCTTTCGAGAACGCCATCTCTTCATGTCGGAATTTGAATACGCGGATGTCTCACACCCTGGTTCTACGAGTGTACAAAACGTCCGGCATCGACGTTCAATCGCGACACAAGTATTCACCGTTGATCCGTATACAATGGATAGGGACAAGAAGCCGTGATCCGCGAAGCGGTTCGAACGTGGCTTTGTCGCTAATCGCTGCAGTGTCAAACCGACGTTTGACTTTAATTTAGTAGTGAATGCAATTTAAAATTTTTTTTTTCCCACGTTTTTGGTCGCACTTCGATGGGGCAAAACGTACGAACGTTACGTTAAAAATAATGTAAACGTGGTTCTTCTTTAGAATATAAGACACGAGTGAATGTGAATTTTCTGAACAGCTGAGCAGGAATAAAGAAAAAGCGATTTATGGAAGAGAATAAAGAGGAATAACGTTTTTTAGGTTTTAACGCTAGAACGACCGGCGGATATTTTTTTTTTATAGGATGAGCCATTTGAGACAAGTCATTTCGACCTGTCTTGGTAGATCTAGTGTTAAAGCTACTGATACGTTTGTTTCAACTTCGATGGTAGATTTGGAAACGAAGTATTCGCGAGAGTGATCGGTAGGTTAAGAATTAGAAGTGCGCAATTTTTGGTACAGATTTTATGCGACGTTCTGCTTTAATACATCGCTTGAACAATGGCGGCGCTGAAGTGAGAAAAAGTACTACTACCGATTGTGCTGAAATAGGAACCGATTCCTAAAAGGAATATAGTATACTACTGTAAAAAAGATAACTTTACGGTTTATAAAGTTACGGTATGTATAGTTATTCTTACCTATCAGTGGTAATATCTTTTGTACATTATATCTCTTTTAGGGACTGGCGCCTATGTATTTCGCAACTCGTAGTGGTTACGTCTAATACTATTCTTTCTTACCGAGATATGCATAGCCACTTTCAGATTCGCTTCAACGGTACTGCAGTTGATAGATGGTAATCTCGTATCCATGTTCTACATATCAGTGGCTTTTACGCGTATCCGCGTTTTATCCGATTTCATCGTTGGATATGCGCGCCAAATTGAATTCGTACCATTGATTTCCTTAATGCGATTAAGATGACGTGAAAGTGGCGGCGGAGCACTCGTTTATGAAACTTTTTACCGAACCGGACGTACCGAATCGTCTCAAAGTTTGTAACATGAATACGGAGGCTATTGGGAATGTCCTGGTACCCGTTCAATTTCAATTGCCTAAAGATTTGTTTAGAATAAAAAAATTTTAGATAAAAAATGAAACTTCATCAGTGTCAAGACTTTCGATCTTCACGTCGTAATGTTTGAAACAATTCGGTACACCTACTTCGGAGAAATGTTTCACGAACAATTAACCCCTCACATCCGACGTCCGTTGCGACGCTGGGACAACGCGGGAACGCTGCCATGACGTCCGGTGCATCACGCAATGGGGAGCGCAATATCGGACGGTTTTGTCCGGCACGCGTTAAACCGGGAAAATCCTCCCTTATCGAAAACAATGGACGACATCGTAATTACGCGCACGAGTCGTCAATCGCGTTGGTTATCGGGATATCCGTTGATCGGCCAGGGAACAATGGGGATGCACAGAAAAATTGTCCGAACCGTTCCCACTACGAAATAGACGCTATGAAATTCAAGAATGAAAGAATACCCTTACAAATTCTCCCTTCGTCGTTTGGATTCAGTCGTTAAAGCGATACGACATAAAAGAAAGAATAATTTTACAAATTCTCTCTTTCCGCGGTTACATGTCCCTTTTAAGAACTGGGACCTATATCATAGTTCGCAGTGGGAACGTTCGACAGGATTTTTCCTCAGGTGAATCCGCCGGGATTTTCTATCTCTTCGTGGCGGAGGTGCAGCACCGATCGACCGGTCGGAGCGACGCAAGGAGGACGGCTGCGTCGCGGTTGGCAAGATTCCGCCGTGGGCACGTCGGCGCGATGAAGTACCTACCCCGGGTCGCGGTTCGGTCGTCGAGGATGCCGGAAGCCGAACCGAAAATGTTTTCTCAGGCCTTGAGTCCCGGAGGAA